GGCGCCCTCCAGCGACAGGCGTACTTTACGACGCGAGGTTCGAAACGCGCGTCTTCTGCCGAGAGAATCGGAGCGTGCGTTCCGGGCCGGGAAAATAAAGTTACACCACCACCACCACTAGAACGCAGTGGCTCTGGCTGGCGCTGTTTACACGGCGCGTTTACATCGGTTTAGTCTTTCTCGCCCGAGTGTGGGGGGTCGCGGCAGAACGGCAACGTCAGACCGCCTCTGGCAGAATAAATTGCGGGATGGCTCACTTAGTCGGCGCTATCCACACTGGGGTCGGTTGTCCGCTTTGCCATGCGAGAAATGGCTTTGCTTGCATCCGAACCAGCCCGACCTTTGACCGTGAGATGAACGCAGACCGCGGGTTCCCACCCGGGAATACAGGCAATTCCCACGTGGCGAGAAGGTGAGCCGATTGGTTGGCGGTGGGAAACGCCTGCCTCACGACGCATCGAGGATTCGCCGGTCCACTAAAAGGGGACGGACCAACGAGTAACTTGGATTAGAAACTCAGCGAGTGAGTTTAGTTCGTGCTGGGGCTCGAGAGCTGTCGCTCCGTAATAGAGTCAGGTCGTGGGATTCCGAGGGACTTCTGTCCCCGTAATCGGGACGTAATCCCACGAGCCAGCCAACTCCCGAGCTTGGATAAGCTACCACCCGACCACCTCCTTCCCAACCCCGTACAGGGGAAGTTATCATTTCGCAGTATTGTTTATCTTTGTATATTCATTCCCTACCAAAGTATTAAATTGTTTATTGAAAAGTAATCCCCAAATTCAACTGAATTAGTCGTCGACGGCCAAGGGAAGCAACTTCGTCTCCGGCAAGACCCGCCCAGCTTCCCACAACGAAGCCCGTCACCCCATCCGGACCTGGCAGTCCGGACGGCGCAAGGTGACCGAGCAACGAAAGAACCCGTTCTCTGCTCGAGAGCGGCCAGGCGCTCCTTAATGTTTTTCACAACGAGCATGATTTTCTTGAGTTTGACGGAGACCTGGAGAGTGACGGGTTGAGAGGGGGGAGGTAAGGTGTCTATGTGTTGATTTTCTGGTGCTGGGTTTATCGCTTGTACTGTGTTTGGGGTGTTTGGTGTGCGCTTGGCAGCGAAAAGTGCTTGTTTGTACGTGTCGGATGCAGTAATGGGATGGGGCATGGATTTGGGTCGGGATGCGTGTGTCGGGTGTAACGTGGAACGGAGTGGCTCTCTCACCTTGTTGTTGCGGCTGAGACTCCGTGTCCTGCGATGTTGCCGAGTTGAGCCTCGTGGGATGGACGGGGTCTGGGAGGGTTTGCCTCCCGCCACAGGCGCAAGGGGGGCGACCGGTCCGATGTCATGCCGCTGTGTGACCTCGGTTCTTCCGCCGCCTCTCTTGTCGGTGTTCTGGTCCGACCTCGGACTCCTCCGCACTCCCCGTCGCATCGTGAGGGCACGCTTACCAGCGAGCCGAGAGTCGAATTTGAACCCGTGAAGAGACGCATGCGACTCGCGAGTCGCAGTTTGGCCACCCCTGCTCCATACTATAAGTAACGCGAACCATAGTACTCGGGTTTTCTCCTTGCCATCACCCTCTCCCAAAAATATGTCTTCCCCCCCCCGGCAAAGCCCGTGTTGTAGGCGTTACCGAAAAAAAGTAACAAAATACGTCACACCTTACTTGCAAATAAAACGAACGCGTTACCGACCTACGTTACTTCAACATAAGAGGTACGCGTTACCGTTACCGTTAACAAGAAAAGCACGCTACTTTTGCGTTACTTTTTTAAATTATTAATTAACGAGTAGTGCTCGTTTGACGTTAAAGGTATGGATTATGTCCATTATGTCCATCAAGCAACTGAACAAAATTAGCTTATCTATTCCGCGGTTCCGCCTAAATACTCACAAGAAAAAACGCAAAGAAACTACGCAAAACAACTAAAAAATGTATATGGCTTGGTTCCTAGAAGCACGAAACAATTGAAGTGTACTTTTTTTTAAGTCTTGAGAAGAAGATGTAACGAGTAACGTCACTACGTGACACATTACTCGAAATAAGTAACGCAAGTACGTTACCCATTACTCTTCTGCAGCTGTAACGATTACGTTACACCGCTACCGAGAAAAGTAGCGCGTTGCCGGTAACGCCGTTGCTAGTGACGCGTTACTTCAAACGATGCGCATTGGTCGGCTGCAAGTCAGCGCGGCTGGTGGTCAAAAATGGCGACATTAGGATGGCCATGCTACCGAATGATAGGGCACGCGCGCTGCGTCACTGTACGGCAGGGCGCCTGGACGTTCGAGCTCGAGATCGGGTCCAGCGATTGCGGCGGCGGATCGTCTCAGAGTTTCGAAAGTTCCGCGTATGATGGCGCTGCCCGCCGAACCAAACTTTTTTGCGCGGACTCTATCGTTGAGCGCGCCGGGAGGGGAAAGAGGCGAGTGCTGCGTGAGTGTTCGGCTGATATTCGTGTTGTCACTGATTCGGGACGAGCTTTTGTCCAACGCTGACTTAACCTCCCCAGGTGACTTTGGTGACTCAGCACGAGGACCTGGTTTTCTTGGTGTAGCGCAGTCACGCTTGAAATCGACGTCGTCTGCCATGAGGGAAAAGAGGGAGAGAATGTTTTCTGCCGTTGGAGAGGAGGAAGGGACTTGTGAAGGGGAACGTTAGCGCCACTTTTCTGTATACAGGAGTATTAAGTGGATTAAGGAGGGAAAATCTAATCAACGAATATGGTTCGTTGGCTTTCATTTTGATAGTCCTGTACAATCCCCAAATGAGCAGTTGAGCGAAAAAAAGAGATATACCCTGAGCTATATATATACATTTTTTTTTTTTTTTTTTTGGGGGGGGGGGGTTGTATTAAGGCTTTTTTTTTTTTTTTCCCCAATTTTCTTTCAATAGATACCTAGCCCACACAGCGTGTCTCTGCACTCGGTTATTTCGGGCGAATCATTCTTTGTGGCATCGAGTGTCGCCCGAGGGTGGTGATGCAAAGCTGTGAAGAAGCGTTTGAGCGCAAAATGGCATAAAATAATTTGACGACGGCTCACGTTCGAGCAAATCACGACAAGTTGGGTGCCGTTTGAAAAAAAGCATTGAAAGTAATTGGGAGGTCAAACGGCTGATATATAATTACTAAGCAAATCTGCATGAGTATTGAAAACCTGTAACAAAGCGCAACGTTTTTTTTTTGTTTTTGCTTTCTTTTCTCTCAACATTATGGTGTGTTAGTATACGCTAAACTGGTGCCTGATGTCTCCCCTATAAGGGTGAATTTGGCTGGTGGTGGTTGCGAACCTTCAGTACAACCAAGCCTTTAACGCAAATTGGGTTATAAGGCTGGCTTTGATATTTTGATTCTTATTCTCGCATACGAATAACCAGAAGCCGAGTTTCTATATGAGAGAGTTTCATTAGATAGTGTTTTGAGGCCACGCTATTTTTAGTGGAAGCTCGCGATGTCATTTCGATGCATTCTCTGAAGCGCGCGCCCGTAGTAGCAGTGGGCTTTTGAAAACGGTCTACTAATACTACTATAGCCTCCTCTATACTCGGAAAGCCTGGCAGTTCGACGACGGAGCCATAGAGTGCCCGGTCGGAGATTTAGAGCGCGAGGATCTGGTAGCACAGAGCATCAAAGAGCCATTTCTCGGGGAACCTGGACGTCAGCGCACAGCTTTTGCAGCGGCGAGGACCCCAAACACACTTGCTCGCTCGGGAGAAGTGTGTTTCGGCGTCTCGCCGCAGCGGGGTGAAAGTCACGTGGCTCTCCTCTCATTTGTTGTCTGCCGCTCTACTTTTTCCGTTTCGGCGGCCGCTTCTCGTGGCGATCTGCCAGGCTTTGTAAGTATATAGGAGGCTATGATATTACATATTATCATGCCTGAATATGTATGCGTGGATATAGCAGGAAAGAGCCTTTTAAGAATGATATACAAAAAAAACAAAAACGTACTAAAGACCCTTTTCAAGATACATTCTGGCAATGTTTATAACTATCATTACCTAAGTGCATATCAACTGATCATTATAATGTCGATCTTCCTGCGGTCGATGAAGAATGAAGTTGAAGACAGGCACTCACGATGAGCTTGTACATTTCAGACGTTAGTTTCACTGCCAGCGTGACGAAACGTATATTCTCCTTTACGCTACGCATTTGAGGTCACGCAAATTCTTGGCATTGTCGCCTTGGGGGCGCCCCAGAAAACTCGTGACAATAAAATGTAGCAAACATTTTTTAATCTTTTTTGATAAGCGACACGTACAAAATGGTAGTTTCTTGTCACCATAAAAAGTGAAATAACTAGAAAACAAATAGTGCAGCGAAGAACATCGTCACTTTCGTACATCTCTTATTTACATAGGGATATTAGATTCTCAGCGTCATTAGCATACAGAAGTCTAAGCTGGTATTTGAGACCCTAGATAGCACAGAATTTCTGAAAGTGTGTCTAGAACTATTTGAAAACGAAATATCTGGACTCCTTTGACAATTACCGAATTTGGTAAAATGCGTATAAAGAAACAACAGGAGAAACAACAAATACTAATGCAACTGCGCATAAATTCTTTCGTGCTGATAAGGTACACGATCAATCTTGCAGTTGTTAACGAAATAAATCTTATATTTCCTTACACGCCGAACTTTCTTTCTCGATACGGGGTTGTCTCTACGTACACTCGCGCACAATGTAGAAGGCTGATTCGCTAACTCAGTTTATGCGGCGATGTTAAGCGCGCGTTTCTTCTACGCACTGAAGGTTTAGAGCAACACAAAAGAACAAGGATGCATTTATTTTCTCACCCCGAGCATTGTGGCCAATCTAGACCAAAGTGAACCTTGCGCAACCGCCCAAAGCTGCATCCTTGAATGGGTTTTAGATATCCGTGGAGAAGGATATGTACCGGCTAGTAGATGGGGAACCTGGCACTGGGAATCTAACATAGTTGACCTAGTTGATATTCTGACATCTTCAAAGCAGTTTTGTTTTGTTTTTTTTGTTTTAGCGAGCCAAGCTGAAGGAACCGTGATGATTCTTAGTGTCTACAGCAGCACTTGCATCGAAGATGTGAAGAAGGCAGCACCAGAGGGACTTCGCTGGTCCCAGCTGCAGATGTTCAGGGACAGAGACCTTGTGAGAAACCTCGTGAGACGCGCCGAAGATGCCGGCTACCGAGCGCTCGTGCTCACAGTAGACATGCCGGTGGGTGGAAACAAAATTCCCAGAGCGAAGAAGAGCTACACTACTCCGGAAGGACTCAGGTGCGTTAAGTAGGGCCTTTAAAAGAAGAATCAATGTATGCCGAAAAGGAGCGGTTCGTATAAGAGAAAACGTTGAGTACAAGAAGGCGTCTTGTGGATGAGCATTGCGTGTTTTGAACAGTACACTATGGATGCAGTAATGAGTACTAGTGACCTATGATGGAGAGAGAGTAGGACGTACATGTCTGGGAGGTTAACCATACAGCGCCTCAGTGTGGTAGACAGCGTGTCCGTAACAGAGTTGTCCAAACGTCAGCGTTAATTTCCTGAAACTTTAGTAGGTAAAAAAACACAACTGCAAATTGCTTGGCAGTTGTGTGACATACGTGAAACTAAACGTAAGTGTCAAGCTGTGGGGGTTAGACGAGTTGCTAAGCGACCTCTACTTGGCATAAAGGCCACGTGACGTGATGTAACGTGATCTTATTTTCCCACTAAATTTTGCGGGTGAAACTGTCTTCCTGTCATTACTTTCTCCCCCAAAAATAGCGGAGAAACTAGATTCGCAAGTAGCACCCATGACGTCATGTCATGTGACGTCGATTTCCACACTAAATAGAAAATGCATTGGTGTGTAGGTCACGTGACGCTAATTTTCTCGGTAAATATAGCGGTAAAGTCAATTGGTGCATAATTCACGTGACGTCATGTGACATCATGTGACGTCACAGGCCCTGACTTCACGAAGTGCGACTTCCCAAAATTTGGAGCCAAAGAACCTTTCACTTTGAAACCTACGAATAGAAGAAATTGAAAACGGCACAATGCGTATTACGGTTTCTTTTGAATTCAGATTCGCTAACTTCCAAGGAATCTTGGACAGCGGGTACACCGTACCCAACTCGCCGCTTTTCAAGAAGAGGGGACTGACCGACCCTTCGCAAACATGGGATGACGTCAGCTGGTTGATGAGCTTCACCAGGCTACCCGTGGTTCTCAAGGGAATCACCACCGGTGCGTATCACTTTAATAGTCTTACGCGACGTTTCGAAGAAACATTATTGCCTTCCAGTGGAAACTATTTTGAGCCATATTTAGAGGACGGCGCTTGGCTACTTTTGACTATGGGCCCCCAGCACTAAAGATTCATATAGCAAGTTGCTGGGCTCGCGGCCCTACCAGAGTGGGGAAAACTTACACGTCTCCTAGCAGAGCCACCGTTTTGCCTCCCACCCTATGTAGTCGTTTATGAGCTGTTTTTACGCAGGTCTTTAAAAAAATACTACTTGTGAACTGATGTGGGTTATCTTTAAGAACACGCAGCGTCACGCTCTCGCCAGGTATGTTTGTGTTTCCGGCGCCATTAGAGAGGGAGGAAACCAAATGGTGTTCGCGGTCAACAAAAAGCGGCACTGACCCATCCAAGGGACGTCACCACTCTGGAAAAGTGCTCCCAGCAAGCAACATTGAGGCACTCTAGCTGCATGATACAAGCCCAGCCGCGTTGTGGCAATTTAACAACCGCGCCCTTAGTGGAAATATATGCCGAGAGATGGCCGTAGCTGACATGCACCCCGGGGCTTACAAGGTGCGCCCTAATGCTTTCATGATGCTGGTGGCACCGTGGGTTACCATCCGAATAGTAAAAACATGTGGCGTGAGTCGATGTTGTCATACAGGAAGTCGCGCGCCATCTAGACAGTGTAGGATGTTCATAGGTCCCAAACACGAAGCGCATCGACAGTGATATATTTTCCCTCCTACTCCGAATCGGGTACATTTCCTTTTAGATATTTTTAAAGGGCATTATAAGTGTCTAGGAATAACAGGCGGCTTACGTATACTTGATCGTTACTGATACTTGATCGAAATTGATTAAAAGATACAGATAGAGACAACCCTATTGGAAAACCCCAATATGAACAGCGTATTATGGATATTGGTAAACAATATCTTTTTATTGTATTACAATACAATATAGACAGTGTATTGGAAAACATTACATTTATTGTATTGTATTACAATAAGGGTTTGTTATGGGATTCCAATATCCATAATACGCTGAAAATATTGAAATCCAATACCGTATAAACCCTTATTGGATCCCCATGTGTCGTATGGGCATCCAATAAGGGTTTACGATTCCAATATACTTAGCGTATTATGGATATTGGAATCCAATATATTATATCGGCTACCAATAAAACTATATACGAGTTGGAATATAACGTTCAGCGCAACATTTCTCTGCAACGCAGTCTCTTCTTGTGTGTATTTCTGAGTGATAAATTTAAAAAAAATGTTGCTGTTGTCAAATTATGAATAAAGAAGCAAAACACTGGACTTATCCACACCAAATATATTTAACATTTTCCTGAACTGGAGGATCTGGCATTTACTGCAAAAGAAAGTTAATTGTTTAGGATTCTCATTCAAAGACTTTATGTTTGAAAACAGAATGTGAAGTCCTCACCTTAATGAAAACAGCACCTGCTAGCTGTAGCCATATAGAAACCGCAAAATAAAAATTTGTGGTTAGTTTGCGAGAAGTAGCAATCCTTCACCAAGCCAGATAGATTCAAAATTATGTCTGCGTTTGAATGTGGAAAAATAAGCTTCAATGCCACTGCCACGGATCATTCTGAGCTCCGTCAATTAAATATACGTATCCGCTCGTCTGGCCTCACTATTCCTGCTTCGCACCTAACTCGAGTATCTCGAATGCTCACCTTTGAGGAAAAACGAACTGGTGCTTGCTTGCTTGTAAGCTGTGGAAAATGGAAGAGAGATTTGCGGTTAGTTGCGTCCAAGTAGCAGTTACTTTGAGTAGCCACGTAAAGTACACTAAGTCTGAAAGATTCAAAATTACATGCGCGGGACATAGATATCCTCTTGCGACGTAACTGGGCACGTGTCAATGTCGCCCGCTTGTATTACAGAAAAATAAGCTTCATTGCAGGAGCTCCCAGTCGTTCTGAGCTCCGTCAAATAAAAATGCTGTACCGGTCGTATGGCTTCAGTACTCCTGCTTCGGGAATCTGGAATTCTCACTTTTGAAGAAAAGCAAACTGGGACCTGCTGGCTCTTAGGCCGTGGAAACTGCCAGAAAGATTTGCGATTAGCTGCGTCCAAGTATTAATTTCTTTGACCAGCCACCTACAGCACACTAAGCCGGATAAATTCAAAATTACACGTGCGTGACATAATATGCCTTTTGAGACAAAACTGGGCACACGTTTGGTCGCCTACAGGAACACTGAAGCCAGACAGACAAGCGGTACGGCACATTTAATTGACGGAGCTCAGAACGAGTAGGGACGCTTTCACTGAAGCTTGTTTTGCTGCAATACACACGTGTATTCCAGCAAAACAAGCTTCAGTGAAAGCGTCCCCAGTCGTTTTGTCAATTAAATGTGCCGTACCGCTTATCTGGTTTCAGCATTGCTGCTTCAGAGCAATCTAGAAAATCTAGAATCCTCACCTTTGAACGAGAACGAACTGGCGCCGGCTGGCTTGTAGGCCGTGGAAACTTGTGGAAGTTCTTTATAAGGGAGGTCCCTCTACTAATATTCGCCGCCCGATCGGTATGCGCTCCGCCCGTCACCTAGGGAGTGACACACTGCAACGAGAAGACAGCGAATGGGTTTACTGCACCTCCCGGTTGCCCGTCGTCGAGAGCCGGTAGTCCCGGCCCGCCGGCCCTTGTTGTCGCCCGTCGATCAGAGCTCACAGTCGGGGTCCGTGTCCAGTCCTGCGGATCGCCTTTCCCACGCCAGCGCTGCGTAGGCTGGCTGTCCCGGGCTATCAATGCCCGAGTCTCGCTGCGGAACCGCCCCGGGATCGTCATAGCCCAGGTCATATGGCCCAGGCTCGCCGTTTCCACCGGTCTTGCTCCAGACCTCGCTGGTGGACCGCTCCGGGGTTCGTTATGGGCCAGGCCAGGCAGCTTGGCTTCGACGTTCCTTGTCCAGCTACCAGCCTCGCTCAGCACGCAATGTCTCGCGCCAGCTCGTGTCTTCTCCGCCGGCCGCCTGTCTCGTGCCCTCTGCTTCGTCTTTCACCCCCGGCTCCCACACTCTCCCCCCCCTCAAGGCCCGGACTTCGGGGGACTTCATGGGCCTCAGGGAGCCGCTGGGCTTCATGGGCGGCCGCTGTTGCTGTTGCCGGAGTGGCCACGTTGCAGCGTCCGAAAGCGGTGTAGGTGGTGGTGGCTAGCGAAGCCGGCAGACAATGCCGACCTGTCGGTCGCTCGCTGTCCCACTCACCGCGATGCAGCAGGGGGCTTGCTCTAAGCTGGTCCGGCCGACGCAGACGGACTTGCCCCGTTCCGCTTAGAGGTCACAGCTGGCCTAGAACTGCCCGCCTGAACCGTTCGTCAGGCCGAACAACTGTCAGCCACCCTGAGCACTTGGAAAAACGAATAGGCCCGTCTTCCCTCCCGGTGGGCTTCCTGGGTTACGCCGTCTACGGCCGTCTTTCCAAGAAGCTATTCTGCGCAGAACAAACTGTTAAAACAACACACAACGAACAAGTACTCTGCCGCACACTGTGGCAGTGGCCATAACCTCCACCGCCTAATTGCTTGCCGACGGGTTCGTGTACCATGCGGCTAACTCGGCAAGTCTGCATTCCAGAGCTCGCTCCTGGGTCGCCAAGAACAGGGGATTTCTTGTGTCCTACCGCAACCTCATGTTATACGTCTTCCCCATCGCGACAACGGTAATATCCTCTCAAGTCAGCGATTTGAACCGGGCATGCCTCCTCGCTTGTATCTCGCCGAGTAAGCCTTGAAGTAAGACACGACGCACGCGTCTTTGTACCTCGGGTGCCCTTCTCACCTCAGAGCAAGCGATGCGGCAAAACCACTAGCTGCATTGCTCAACGCATGAGTTTCCTTCTGAACAGGTAACGATGGAGTAAACCTAGTCCATCTTTTGCGCAAGCGAAGGGATCCAAAGGCTGTAGCGGGACGGCCATATTCCATACCCGCGCTCCAAAACGGCTATATATACCGTGTGGTACTCGATGTAAGCGTCAGCGTCCCGTTCCGTCCACGTGTATACCAGTTCTATAGGGGACTGCTCGGTCCTCGGAGGGGCGGCAGCTCAGCGAGCAAACCCGCTTAAACCGTTTACGCCTCAATGCAAGCTGGACAACTACAAGCCACCTAAATGTCTACCGCCTCATCCCCGGCCAGGTCGTGACGCGACATAACTTATTAGAAGTTTTGCTGTCACTGCTACGACCGGCCAGAGTGAAGTCTAGAAATTATCCTATAAATCGCTTCGTAGCTTTCTCGGAACGACCCCCTCAAGGGAGAGTCGTCCCTCTGCCTTTCGTCGGTTGTTGGGGTGACGCGAAGCAACTAGCTGTCTTGGCCCAGCGGTTACAAATCATACTGCTCCTTAACTCGCCTGCCAGCGTTCCCGGTGTCAACTGCAATTTACGCCAGTTTATCCAACACCCGCTGACAATCTCGTCCGCCAGTGTTCCCGGTGCCGACTGCAATTCCCGCAATCTTTCCGACACCCACTGACAAAAACCGATCTGCACCCGGGGCCTCGACAAGCGCTTACTGGCTCACCGCATCACTCCAAGCCTATATCCTAAATATGCAATAACTCCTGGCTGTTTTCCCTCGTGCCAGTCGCTACCCTGCCTTCCAGTGAACCTGCCGTGCCTCTCGTCTGCCTCCGAAGACGACGTTCTTACATCTTAACCGCGCTCCTCGTGTTCCCCCCGGTTACGGCACCTTCTGCCAACCACTATTATGGGGTACCCGAGAAAGCGCGTCCGCAACCTCGTCCTTCGAGACCTTCAAGTACTCGATTCGAGGAGACACCTGCTGAGCTCTGCTGCGAGTAGTCACCAAAATTCCAACATGCTTTGTCTCAACGGGCATCGTTAGCGTTACTGAACAACCCGCTCAACGAATCCGTGGGACTCTCTGGGGACGACTAGAAGCAGAGGCATACCGAACGGGCCCCACGTAAGGAAAGCGCCATTTTAATGTG